TTGGCAATAAATCCGTAAGCCCAAGCGTCCATGGACCACCCCGCATATACGTTAGCATGTATCCCTGACTTACACGCATCCCGCTGTGGAACACGTGGCGTATTAACAATATCGACATGAGTAAACAAATGCCCAAGGGGGATCACGAGGGGAAACATGAAGAAGTCTGCAGATTGCTCGAAGTAATTTACACTTTTCCAACTTCAACTTACAAACTTTGCCCACTCTCTTCTCGCTTTACAGAAGTGCAAACCACGGGGAAGAGGCAAAAAAGTGGAACGACAACAGAAATTAACACAAATGCCTCATAAACTGGCATATCTTGATTGGGAACGGGAACCGGAAGTGCCACCCACCAGCCCAAGGACACGTGTTAAGTAGCTCTATCCATAGTCATTATCAGTGAACGGTGAGCAAACATGCCGAACCTCCATCACGTCGACTACAATCGAAAGTATTCCGCCACGGAAACGATTCAGGTAAGCTTTGCTCCTTCGGGTCCTTCAATTTCTTTGCCATTTAAGTCGAATCGCCTGCTTGCTGGCATTAAAAAATACGACTTAAGTGCGATAATTAAAAATGAAACGAACAATTTACGAGCCGAGGAGTCTGGCACGCGACCAAATTTGTGGGCGTTCCTCGGGCTCTATCTTATCCTGGTGATTTTTCACACCCAGGATAGCGGGGATCTGGGGGCCAGAATGCAATGGAGTCCGAATGGAGACCTTACGTTTGACTTGCTCCTCGACTGGATTGATGTGCTCCGTCGCTTTGCTGTTTGCCTGAGCAGAGCTCAGCAAATTAATTGTTTCGTGTTTTTTGGACAATGCCAGCCTGGGAGCAACCCCCAAGACACGCCTACTGTCCCGCTAATTGCTGTCATAAATTTTGAACTCAACTCGCTGGGAAACATTCCTTCGGCAAATTGTTATACTCTGTCGCCGGGGAAAACGGGATAAAGGGGGTAGTTGCGCTATTACCAAAGGGTTGCTCAAGGAATTCGGGTAGATTGAGCAATTAGGGAAAGAAATAGCTTAATGGAAAGTGTTCCTGTGGGGAATCGGGATGCGACTTGCCTGGGAAAGGAAAGATATCATTGCGATATTTATTTTTATTTGAAAATAAATTTTTTGATGATATTATTTGTTGTACCTTAGTATCTTAAAACACACCTAACAGAGTTTTCCTGGATACTAAAAATTTTACAACAAATAAATGAAATATTAATTTTATAACTCACTTGGGGAATGCTTTTAATATTTGAAATATTAGGCTGAGGTCTGTAATGTTTTTAATATATCCTCACAATCCTATTGTATAAAACTACCTATCAGGATTTCAAGTTCCTGAAATGCTTTCCCATACATTAAAGAGTATATATTATTCGGCACAATACAGGAGTGTTACTTTTCAGATCCCATTTGTTTTGGTTTGCATGTTGTCTCAGCTTCGGCTTTTCCCGCGACCACTTTCCTCGAACTTTCCCGCACTTTCTCCGCCCCGTCAGCCTGCAGCAAAATCGCAAAAAACAACGTCGGGAAAGTCTGTACTGGCTGCTGTTGCTTTTTATTCCTCAGTTGGGTTTGTTTTGTTTTCGCTCATGGAGAACGCGGCTCTTCCGGATTCCTTTGGTGCCGGGTAAAAACGAGATGGACATAAACCGGTGAGGGTGAAGGGCGGTCTTCGTCTCTGAAACTTGATTAAGTAGTTTCCGCGTGCTTTTATTTGCACAATAAAAACATAACTTTTTTTGTTGCGCTGGAGCTGCTTCTCTAGTATTAAAGTCGGATGAAAAGGAGCGCTAGAGCAAAATGTGTGAAGTGGACTTTTCCCCGGGAATTGCATCCCTCTTTTCATTCTGGACGTGTTTCCTGGCTGTTACCATTTAAGCCGCTATTTTTATGGCTTTTGCGCTGGAATGATAACGTTATGGCTCCATTGTGACAAGTCGCGAACGTGGTTTAGTTAAAATGTCTCGTCATGTGGGATCACACGGATGGATGGGTCATTCCCTCCCATGAGAAAGTCAGTACTGGCTGGATTCAAATATTTCAGGAACAAGGGAACATATAGTTTGATGTCAAAATAATTGAATTTAGAAATCCTTTTAATTTACCTGTGAAATATCAAATGGAAAATAATACATTTTATATCTTAAAATATCCAGGGAAGAACTTATATGTATATTAAATACTATTAATAATAGTATTAATTAACAAAATATTTGTAAATATTTATTCAAGAGCGGTTTCCAATATATACATTTTTAAATAAGCTAAATTTACAATCTCGCTTCATTTTAATGTATAGAAATATTGTCTTTTAATTTTTGACTTCTTTACCATGCTTTTACCTTAAAAGGTTTTACGAGATTTTAGAAAACTGTTCTCTGCTCCGATTCGTTTACGCCCAAATACTATTAACTGTTTTCTGGTTTCAACTAATGGTCGGGTAACTGAACAGTCTGCGATTCTGAAGGAAATAGCGACCATATGCCGCTCTATATACCCGCAGACGTCGCGTCCCATTAAAAATGATTACAGAAATGCCTTAGCACGCCCTCCCACGAAAGAAATTTCACTTTTCGCCGCATATGCTGCCCGCTTGGAAGTTGCCTTTTTTGCCAATTTTTTTTTGGCAAAACAAACAACATAAATATGGATTTCTCATTAAAATGCCAAAGTTATGCCGGCACGTAGATGGAAATGCTGCGAGTCCTTCGAGAGCGACGCCTGCGCCTTCGACATGTTTTGCTCTCCCCAATGTCAATGTCGACGTTCTCTTAGCCACGTTTGTTGTGCTCTCTTATTGGCCAAGTCACGTGCTGCCATTGAAGGAATTTCACTGCCGGCAGGAGCGGATCGTAAAGGAGAGCATCCAGAAAGGAGGGTGGCCACTTCTCCTAACACTCAGCCAGGACTCCAGGACGCCAGGACAATGTGACGCATTTGTCATGAAACGGATTTCCGGTATTGTCGTCGCTGTCTCTGCCACCCCACGGGGCACCACCCATCCGCACCCATCCGCACCCATCCACACCCATCTACACTTAGCTTCCCTAGGCAAACTTGTTCAATTTTTTATGACACAGGCGTGGAGGAGCGAGGAACGATAGAAGTCTAAGGCTAAGGAAAAACACAAAGTTTGTCGTGCCCGGCCGCAAAAGTGGCTATTTAGCATTTTAGAGTAGGCGAACATGACCTCAAGGAACCTTGTGCTCCGCTCATCACACTCCTCAGAGTCCTTGCGACTCTAGGCTCTGAATTTTTCATTAATTGTATTTCAAATGGGACGCTAAAAAGCAGAAGAAATGGAAATTTAAATGAACGAATTTCGCAATGATTTCGGGCAATGGGCGAATTGAGGGTGGTGCATACAATGTGTAGGTTTAGTCATTTAAAGGGCATTTCAAGGTATCCTCAAGTTTTGAAATCATTCTTTTGTGCCGGTAAGCAAACGATTATGTTATATTCTTTAATTATTGATATAGGATCCTTTTTTATTGTTTTGACCGAAAGAGAAGCTAATATGTTGATCTACATAAGATTATTATATATATATATATAACAGCTTGTTGCATACCTTAAGCGAAACTCACCCCTAAAGTGCATTTTCCCTCGTTAGAAAACCAGGTAGTAACTACCATTCAGGTATGAACTGCATGGAAAGTATGCAACCGTTTGCCATGCTCGTTAATCCTTAGCGCACTAATAATTCCCAAATAGTTCTGGCTTCCCTTGAGTGGAGTAGGGACTGATTTGGGATTGGAAGTTATCTTTGCGCAGAGGCGATATCGTAACCAATGAAGTTCTACTGAGGTGCGATTATTGCTAGTTGAAAACTTTAACCAATACCCCGCCATGGGGACGTGAAACACCGTCCACTACGGCAATTTTTGGAAGCCCGAGAGGGCCATTAAAAATAAATTCGAACATTAGTCTATAGTCTCTGTTGGGCACCGCTTCGGTGCTGAGCTCAGCATCATTAATGAGAGTTAATGAAAGGACACTAAACTCAAATCTTAATGGGTCATAATCGTTAAATGGCCATATAACAAAGATCCTTCGGATAACCCTGTGCCGGTTTAAAGAGGCTATGAAACCCACAGAAATTGCATATCATCGTGTAAAACTATTTTGCCTAACCATTAATTTAAGCCATTCGCAACACACACTCATCCTCAAAAAGGGTTCATGGGCATTAGACAAATTAAACCTAATGGTATCTCACATTTAGCCTACTCTCCAGCTAAATCACAATAACCATCCTGTATGCTGTGCATGCAAATGTGACTGGTTGTGTGTGAATGCGGGAAAATTCCCAAAATACTTCTGACCGAAAATTACTGTCGCAATTTATGTTTATGCGACTGGAAACTTTTCCTTCGGCTGGATTTTTGTGTTTTTATAGTTCAAGTTCGACACGAGTAGAGAACCAGATAAACGGAAACCTTTAACTTCTATGTAAATTTACAACTTTGCTAGTTTTGGCTTTCGAAAAACTTCACCCGAGCTTTTTTGGTTCCTTTTGTGGCATAAAGCCAATTTGGACACAGACATAAATACAAAAAAAGGAACGACCCCTCACAAAGTTCAGATTTTCCGATGCGTAACGTCGGTTTAACTCAAGAGACCAGCGTTGGTGGCTTGTTTCCTTTTTATGAACTAAGCAGATGTAATTTCAAGGCGACCCATGACCCCAAACATATTTCATTTTTTACGCTTAGCCTACTTTTTGTCAATGCCGAGCATGTAGCACAGATTTGGATTGCTGGCCTTTTCTTGGATCTTTTCAATTTATGTGTTATTTATGCAAAGCAATCCCGCATTGATGAAGATGCTTTTCCAGAATACTTAAGCCTCGGGAACCAAGAAAGAGATAAAATAATTCAATTAAAATTTATGGAAATGGCAAGTGGAATGGCAGACTAGTTATCTAACAATTCTACGTCCGAACTAATTTTCAGCATTATTAATATAATATAATTAAAATCGTTGGTCGAGCTACATAAATAGCCAGGCCCTAAGGAAATAGAGATTCTACTCATTAGAGTGTTCCTCCCCACGGAAATCTTTACTAAAAGGCGAAAGATTTTTTCGACAATTGAATGTCCAGAATGCCGAATAATTCTAAGCGCAGTTCGAAAATATTAGTAAAAATGGTACATTTATGGTTTGTTACCTGATTGATATAAAAATGTTAAGGGACCGTTTCCGCAAAATCTCTATCATGTAGGGATGCAAATTAAATTTAAAATATATTCATTTAAATAATATTACATAATGTTTATAATATATGAACATTTAATTGCAATATAAATGGTCATTGCAATAAATTAATAATAAATAACAATGACCAAATGGATAATCCCCAAAAGTATACAGTAGTATTTCTTGTTTTTTTCCTGTTCCAAACACAATAATTCCCAACGTGTTTTAGCTGCAATTGCATGAAGTCCTTCATTTTGAAAAGATTTAGTTATCGCTTCTCGGCCTTATGGCTAAGATCAAAGTGTAGTATCTGTTCTTATCAGCTTAACATCTGATAGTTCCTCCATTGGAGGACAACAAATGTTAAACTGATTTTTGGAATCAGACGGAGTGCTAGGGGCTTGCTCCACCTCTGTCGCGGGTTGGCCCGGTATTGCAGTACCGCCGGGATTTCGGCCCAACTGAATAATGAATATTAACATTTGTGAAAAATACACAGCCCCATTATCGAGCGAATGGCTTCACGTTTGACGTTGAAAACAATCTCACCCTGTTACATGCAAATTCGAATGATAGGATAGTTTCCTGCTGACATTGCAAAAGTCTTTGCCTTGCAATTCCTTTGCTTCTGTTCCTTTTGGGCGGAGGCAATCTGGTCTTTATCTATCGAAAATTGTTTAGCCTTCGTCGCGTTGTCAAGTGATTTGGAAAATTGAATTGATCAATTGTTGACAGTTCTTTGCGGTAGTGACCATTCGAATTGTGCTTTACTGAGCCAATCCTCACATTTGGTGAGGCATTGCTTATAAATGATATAAATAACTCCGAAGTTTTCACTGAATTGTGTTATATATCAAAAGTTTCGTAATCGCAAGGAATATAAAAACTAACTAGAAAATCAAAATCGTAACGGTCAATTTTGAAAATATTCAAATCCAAAACGTAAAAAACATAACTTAAATAAAAACTTAAAAGCTGTTTTCCGTTAACAGCGTTACATTTTGCTCCACCGCCCCCAACAGATTCACTTTTCAAAATGCCTAGTTTCCCACTTTCAATATTTTCTGCAGTTGCAAAGAGCATCAATCAATTTTCCTACTTATTCTCCTCGCGTACTAGCTCTTCGGTGCTTATCGTCACTACGTAGATTGCCACCGGAAGTGATTACCATTTTATTGTTAAGATTAAGAAAATAATCATTTAAAGTGTAACATAATATTACACGAAGTGGTTTTAATAAGGATAAGGTTCTAGAAAATATTTGATTAATTATTTGTGGGCACGAAAAATAGTTTTTTATTAAGCTTTTGATTAAAATTTTGTAAATCAAATATAAACAGTGATTTTTTCAGAAAAAATATGCACACGTAAACGATAAAATTCGGCTTACAGGGATATTCGGTTTTAATTTTTAACTTTCCCGCGCGAATAAAATGTTAAAAACTAAACAAAAATAAACAAATTTAGAATTGGAAAACTGAAGATTACTTAATTTGATAAATAAATTCCAGTCACTTCAGTATTTATAACTATTTATAACTAAAACTTGTTGGAGCTGCCAATGTTTTATTATAGTTCTTAAAATAACGAAAGGTAATATTAAACGCCTTAATACACCATATTCAAAGTTGTGTTTCTTATTATTATACATTTTATTCATGTTCAAAGTTAATAAAATAAAAAACCGAAAATAAAAAGCTTCAACAAAGATACACGGGATTAAATCCGCAGCAGATACTCACATATAAACCAATTTTGCTTACGTTACCTTTATACAATTTAAATTGGCATTTGAGTATGTATTGCACATTCTTTTTAACTGCGGTATTATATTTCCTTCTTTCTTTTCTGTTGGTCAGACCACAATGATCCGGTCAATTACGACCTTTATATTCGTTAATCAGCTTAAGAAAGTTCAGTACCGCCTACACATCATATTTAAATCATTTAACCACAGAGTCGTCGTGTAAGGAAGCTAAGATAAGCTCAGCATGGTTTTAGAGACATATTTGAAAGATATTTTTTATTTTGATATAAAAAAGTTTTATTAAAACAAGTTAAAACTACATAAGCAGTTTATAAAACATACCTATAAAAAACCCCAAGTTTTAAACTAATTTACATTAAACAACAACACAAATAAGTTAATTTTATGTGTAAAATTAAACAAAAAACCCCGTTTATCATTTTGATTAGTTTGGCACCCTGTAAGATAAGGAAGCCGCAGCAGATTTTAGTTATTCTGGTTCTAAATAGTATTCCCCTTTTCACACACTCGTCTGGAGCATCAAGTGTTGCGCTGAACAGTTAATATTATAAAATGTATAATTAATGGGCCCGATAACATAAGCTGTCAGGCCTTAATAAAAATTGAGTTTAGACTCATTAGAGTGTTCCTCTCCACGGAAATCTTTAGTAAAAGGCGAAAGATTTATTCGACAATTGAAGAGAAACCAGAGTGACTTTACATCAGCAACATTATGCCTCTAGGATCAGTATTGGCCAGAACCACTTGGGAATTTTAAGAGTCATTTGGGTATGAATGCAAACTCACTTAAAGATAGCTGTCGCAACCTTGGCAGCTACCCAGATGCCACATTTCAAGGGTAGTTACCTACATTTCTATATGTGGTGTGTATAAATACTCATGCATAGAGTAGAGAGTACGCCAGATTTGATAGAAATAATGAAACATGTAGTGGAAAGCGTTTCAGACCCCATAAAGTGTATACCTTCTTAATCAGGATAACTTGCCTAGTCGGGCAGATCGATGACTTCCCATCCGTTTGTCCGTATAAACTTCGTGTTCTCGAAAACTATACGTGCGAGGAAGTTGATATTAGGCATGTCCTTTTACTCTTCATACATACATATGTATACATATGCATTTATACCTGCATCTGATCTGACAAGGTTGCCCTTGATCTGACAAGGACCTTTGCGATGTGAGGAAATCCTCCCCTAAAATATGCAATACCGATTTTGGATTCTGAACTCTACATATATTGTAATTCCTAACTGGCTTTAGCTGCAATTGCATGAAGTCCTTCCTTTTGAAAAGGAGTAGTTATCGCTTCTCGGCCTTATGGCTAAGATCAAAGTGTAGTATCTGTTCTTATCAGCTTAACATCTGATAGTTCCTCCATTGGAGGACAACAAATGTTAAACTGATTTTTGGAATCAGACGGAGTGCTAGGGGCTTGCTCCACCTCTGTCGCGGGTTGGCCCGGTATTGCAGTACCGCCGGGATTTCGGCCCAACTGAATAATGAATATTAACATTTGTGAAAAATACACAGCCCCATTATCGAGCGAATGGCTTCACGTTTGACGTTGAAAACAATCTCACCCTGTTACATGCAAATTCGAATGATAGGATAGTTTCCTGCTGACATTGCAAAAGTCTTTGCCTTGCAATTGCTTCTGTTCCTTTTGGGCGGAGGCAATCTGGTCTTTATCTATCGAAAATTGTTTAGCCTTCGTTGCGTTGTCAAGTGATTTGGAAAATTGAATTGATCAATTGTTGACAGTTCTTTGCGGTAGTGACCATTCGAATTGTGCTTTACTGAGCCAATCCTCACATTTGGTGAGGCATTGCTTATAAATGATATAAATAACTCCGAAGTTTTCACTGAATTGTGTTATATATCAAAAGTTTCGTAATCGCAAGGAATATAAAAACTAACTAGAAAATCAAAATCGTAACGGTCAATTTTGAAAATATTCAAATCCAAAACGTAAAAAACATAACTTAAATAAAAACTTAAAAGCTGTTTTCCGTTAACAGCGTTACATTTTGCTCCACCGCCCCCAACAGATTCACTTTTCAAAATGCCTAGTTTCCCACTTTCAATATTTTCTGCAGTTGCAAAGAGCATCAATCAATTTTCCTACTTATTCTCCTCGCGTACTAGCTCTTCGGTGCTTATCGTCACTACGTAGATTGCCACCGGAAGTGATTACCATTTTATTGTTAAGATTAAGAAAATAATCATTTAAAGTGTAACATAATATTACACGAAGTGGTTTTAATAAGGATAAGGTTCTAGAAAATATTTGATTAATTATTTGTGGGCACGAAAAATAGTTTTTTATTAAGCTTTTGATTAAAATTTTGTAAATCAAATATAAACAGTGATTTTTTCAGAAAAAATATGCACACGTAAACGATAAAATTCGGCTTACAGGGATATTCGGTTTTAATTTTTAACTTTCCCGCGCAAATAAAATGTTAAAAACTAAACAAAAATAAACAAATTTAGAATTGGAAAACTGAAGATTACTTAATTCGATAAATATATTAAATTCCAGTCACTTCAGTATGTATAACTATTTATAACTAAAACTTGTTGGAGCTGCCAATGTTTTATTATAGTTCTTAAAATAACGAAAGGTAATATTAAACGCCTTAATACACCATATTTAAAGTTGTGTTTCTTATTATTATACATTTTATTCATGTTCAAAGTTAATAAAATAAAAAACCGAAAATAAAAAGCTTCAACAAAGATACACGGGATTAAACCCGCAGCAGATAACCAATTTTGCTTACGTTACCTTTATACAATTTAAATTGGCATTTGAGTATGTATTGCACATTCTTTTTAACTGCGGTATTATATTTCCTTCTTTCTTTTCTGTTGGTCAGACCACAATGATCCGGTCAATTACGACCTTTATATTCGTTAATCAGCTTAAGAAAGTTCAGTACCGCCTACACATCATATTTAGATCATTTAACCACAGCGTCGTCGTGTAAGGAAGCTAAGAAAAGCTCAGCATGGTTTTAGAGACATATTTGAAAGATATTTTTTATTTTGATATAAAAAAGTTTTATTAAAACAAGTTAAAACTACATAAGCAGTTTATAAAACATACCTATAAAAAACGCCAAGTTTTAAACTAATTTACATTAAAC